TATATGGGCAGATAATGACAGAACAAGGGGAAACGGTTTTAAAGTGAAGAGGGCAGGGTTGGATTAGATATTGAGAAGAAATCCTTCCCTGTGAGGGTGGGGAGGCCCTGGCACAGGTTGCCCAGAGAAGCTGTGGCTGCCTCTGGATCCCTGGAAGTGTCCAAGGCCAGGTTGGACAGGGCTTGGAGCAACCTGGGCCAGTGGAAGGTGTCCCTGCCCATGGCAGGGGGTGGCACTGGTTGATCTTTAAGGTCCCTTCCAACCCAAACCATCCATGATTCTATGATACAGAACCTTAAGTGTGCAGTGTATCCACCTTACCTGACACAGCTGAGTTGCTCTGGCACAAGAGTGGTCTGAAAAGCATCCTGAAGTCATGCACTGACTTCAGTGACCATAAAGTGTTTATACCCATAGAATCACAGAATCACCAAGGTTGGAAGAAACCTTCAGGATCATCCAGTGCCACCCTCACCCAGCACCACCACAGTCACCCCTAATCCATGGCCCCAAGGGCCACATCCAGGCACATCTGGAACACTTCCAGAGATGTGCAGGATGTGAGGGATCCCTGTGCACCTGCCAGGGCAGGTTCTCTGGCAACTGCACACGTGGAAGCGACCCCGGGGTTGCTGCCCTTCCACAGCAACACAAAGCAGCTACTCAGCTTTCTGTAAACCTCTGTACCAAAAGCTCCCCAGGAGGAGTCCCAGGATGTCCCAGGGCATTTTCAGGTTTTTGCCTGCAAAGGAAGACAAAAACAGATTTAAGTCCAGTAACTCTTCTGGATGTGAGCAGACAAAAAGGTCCGTGGTCTTGCAGTGCACACACGACTTAAAATCATGTGACAGAATCACAGAATATCCTGAGCTGGAAGGACCCCCAAGGATCATCCAGTCCAAACCCTGGCCCTGACCAGGACACCCCAACAATCCTCCCTGTCCCTCAGAGCGTTGTCCAAACCCTCCTGGAGCTCTGGCAGCCTTGGGTCTGTGCCCACTGCCCTGGGGAGCCTGGGCAGTGCCCAGCACCCTCTGGGGGAAGAACCTGGTGCTGAGATCCACCCTGAGCCTGCCCTGTCCCAGCTCCAGCCCTTCCCTGGGTCCTGTCCCTGCTCACACCAAGCAGGGATTAGGGCCTGACTCGCTCCTCTCTCTCTGCTCTGACTCCACAAACGTGCTGACAACTTCAGTGGAAGCCTGCAAACAATTAACCAGACTTTTACCTTCTTCCTCGAGAAAAGAGATGAAAACCACATTTGGGAGACAGGATAGAACAGAATGGATTGTATCCTGCACATCTCCCAAGTATGCAAATTACTTATTGGAGCCAAAAAGGCGGCCATGAGCCCAGCAGAACCTGAGATTACAGAAAGGAAGATAACAAGACAGGGGCCAACTGGTTGCTGTGTTGCTCCAGCTTCTTCCAAGTTCTCTTGGGCTGTGAAAATGGAAAAGGACAACATTTTGTTCAGAGATTAGAGAAGAGCCATAAAGTGAGAATACTCCACACTGCAGTAAGGAGACAAACCCATCGCTCCTGGGGAAGTCAAAACCGGAATATCAGATTAGTTACACCAGATTAATTACATGTCAGTAGTTCTCAGCATCTACATTTATTCACAGTAAAAATACCAAATGTAGAGTTAAAATCAGTGTCACTACACAGGTGAAATTTCCAAGTTATACTCAAGCACGTGGCTGAATCTTGGTTTGATTTGTGATCTAAAAAGGCCATTTTTCAACAGCTGCTGAGTATTTCAGTTCAGTTCAGCATGTACTTCTTGGTAAAAAATATATCCATGGAAACGAAAAAGAATAACTTGAAAGGTTATTGTTTCTAGGAGGGTGGTGCGTTGATCAAGAAGAAATTGGAACCAGATTTCTGTATAAATTCTGGTGTTAATTATGTGGTGCAACTCCCTCTGAAATTAATAGAGTTCTGCATATAAAAAAAAAAGGGGGACAATTGAGCTGTTTCTGCTTCCTCTGTTATACATGAAGGCTTTGCCAGTCTACTACAGCACAGGGAATATTTAATTATTAGAGGCTACAGTTACATCACCAACCACTACAGGGGAACTCCAAAAACCTTTAGGATGTTGAATAAAATTCTTAGAAAAACAGCAAATCCCTTTTACAAAAGGCACTTAAGTGTCCAGGGCTTTCAGTGAAGGCAACACAAAATAGAGTTTAGGTTTAACTTGAGAAATTTACTCAGGGCCTTGTTTTTCCTTTAACATAAAACTTCCAAATATGCCTCGGAGGAGTAGTTTAAATGACAATGTTGCAACCTTCATTTATAATGTTATATAATAATATATATAAAAACAATAATAGATAAAAATATATAATATATATATAATATAATTATAAATTGTTATATATAATTGTATATTATAGATATAATATTAATATATATATTGTTACATGATAGTATCTTAAAAGCAGAAATACAGCATTACTCAAGGGGCATTTAGGTTGCTTTTCTGTAGATGTTTTTAATACCTGATATCAGTCTTATGTGACACAATCCAGATATCACATATACCACAAAGAGGTATCACAAATTAGACACTGACACATCACCTTCTAATATCTACCTAGATATTACATATACCACGAATAGATATCATGAATTAGATGTTCTCCTCACAAGGATAAGTGTCCAGTACACTCCCACAGTGACAGGAAGAATAAATTCTGTTTTACTCTAACCATGGGATCATTGATATGTAATAATGTCACCCAGCCTTTGGTAAATCCTTTGATTAATCTCTGCAAAGAACTTCCTTAAGGTCAAGATTTTTGACAGGTCACATTTCCAAGGTTTAATTTCCCAGATTTAACTATATTAATACTGTCAATGATACAATTATTCAGTCAAGCAAATAAATGGGCATTTCACATGGAAAAGCTTTCAGGATGGTTCAACTCTTCTGAAGAGGTTGGGTGGTTTGGTTTTTTTTAACTTTCCAGCACTGTCTTAAAGAGATTTATCCAAAGCCACTGAGGCGAATGGGAATGTCTCTGATGTCTTCATTGGGACCTGGATCTGGCCCAAACCAAATGGGTATTAAAGTTCAGGCATAAAGTGTTGAGTTTGACTCTTACAGGGGTTGTGGTCAGTAACTAATGTGTTTTCTCTTTCCTGCAAGTCCCCATATCCAACAGGAGATACAGCCAAGATGCTCTCCCCGACAACTTCACGAGCTGCACCGCGCCCATGGCAGGCAGCAGGTACAAAGAAGAGATTTATGATTCCACCATCATGAAACACAACAAAATAGAACCCAGGATCCAGCCACCTCCCCACCTCATTAAAGAGGAGAACAAGTTGGCCTTCAACAGAGACCTCCAAGAAAAAATGAGCATTAACGAAAGTTCTTTTTCAAACTCCATTGCCAGCTCCCTGCTGCCAAAATCGGAATGTTTCCAGTCCAAAGCTATAGGACAACTAAGTCACCTCCTGCCAATGCCCTCGGTGTATGAGCAAACAAGAAGGATTTGTGTGAAAGAACCCAAGTATGGGCACATTGGTCACCACCCTGCAAACCTGGAGGAACTGGACGGCGAGGAGAGAATGACTGTAAAGCTCGACCACGACTCCGAGAGCGAGCGTGTGATGGATGTGAGACCCTCGGGACAAGTCCCCTTTGTGCTCCTGAATTACCACCACGTTCTGGCCAAACACGGCGCGTTCCAAACCTCGTCCTGCACGGCCACGGGCCACGTAGGGGAAAGCTATGGATACAATTCCGAGGAAGTAAATACGTTTATTTACAAAAACCAAAGCCCCTCCTCGGCTTCTTCTCCAGAAACCCACAAGGAATCTGCACTACCCCATTATATCGGAACTTCTGTAATAATTGCCAACGGGAGGTGACGGTAACAGAGGAGTATTTGCGTTTAATTAAGAAGCCAAACTGTAATGATTCGCCAAAAAAAAAAAAAAAAGCATGAGAAAACATGGTTACATTTACTGAGAGCAGCTGAGGGTCGGTGAGGGACAGGCTCGTGTGACAGTGGTCAGGAAAAACCCCCTCCATCCAGCTTCCCGTGCTTCGTTGTCCCAGACTGAGCTCTGGTGCCAGTGGGAAGACACGTTACAGATCTTATTTTTGTTATTTTATAGTGTGCAACAAAAAGAAATGATAGGTGTTATATACAGAGATTTATATGAAGAACATTTTTTTTTTTCCTTAACCCCCTCCTTCTCAAAATACATTCAAGATTTTTTTTTTTTATCATTAACTATACACTCTAGTTTAGGGGTTTTTTTGGACAAATTGTGTGAAAACTTTACATCAGCTTTCCACCCCACACCCTGACAAATGAACTTTTTTGAGAGATTGGTGATTTTTAGTGGCCACAATACAGCTGTACTAACCAAACAGAACCTGTGTTTGGGAAAAAAAAAAAAAAAGCTTATTTATTAATTATCCACAATGTTTTAAACTAAATAAATCAAACCTAAATTTGATTTATTTAACCTAGATTTCACTGTTCTGAGATTGTTACCACCACCATTCATCTTGACAAGGGACAATACAACAAATTAATACATATTACAGGGTTACAGGTCTTGTCATGGCAAATTGGGACAAATTACGTAGCAGGAACTAACAACTATTCCCCATAAAGTGTTGTAATAAGAAAAAGAAACTTCTCAATCTTGTGTTTCACTGGGAATTCTGGGAGAACTGTGCAGATTTTAACCCCAGCTACTCAAAAATGCATCTCAATAACAGCACCAGAAATGTTTTCCTTATAGTCAAGAGAATAAAGAACGTTTATGCTTTATTTTAAACTTGCCAGAATTGTGAACTTTGAAACAGTTCAGCTTTCAACACACTGAACTTCCTTAAGGATAAATCTTGTTGTCAGCACAAAGGTAGGACTGGGGTCTGACTGACTCGTGCACTTCACAAATCCCAAATTGCACAAACGCTCCCATTTTGTCCAGCCCGTTAGGAAGAGATTTTCACCCCCTTTATTTTCACTTCTTTCTATAGTTTACAAACGAGGAGACATGTGGGTTTGTGTGTGTTTAATTGACAACAGTCAGTCCAGTGTGGTTTTGAACCACTTCCCAAACTTCCTCAGTTCTTTTCTTGATAAAACAACGAACGACTCCCTATACAAGAGCCGTAAAAAACAACAACAAATGTTGCTGTAGATCCGAGTCAGCTTTGCTTTTTAGCCCAATTCAAGGCTAATTCAGACTTTTCAAAGTCTCTCTCTTATCTCTCTAAAGAGACCTTCACTGAAGGAAACAACCTGGTCTAGTGGAAGGTGTCCCTGCCCATGGCAGGGGGTGGAACTGGGTGATCTTTAAGGTCCCTTCCAACCCAAACCATTCTGTGATTCTATTGCTGCACATAAAGGATGGAGAACATCTAATTTTTTAAAGGTTTTAGTCCCTTATGGTTCTACCTGACAAGGTGCAATCCACGAGCAAGAGTTTTTTCCATATTGCACCAGCCACATAAGTATTTTCTCAAAGGATCTCAGAATGGTTTGGGTTGGAAGAGATTTTAAAAATCATCCTGTTCCAAGCCCCTGCCACAGACAGTGAACCTTCCACCAGAATACAACAATAAAGTCACTTCCTTCTAGGTATGGATATTTATTGCCACGAGTACACAACAAATACTTTTAAATCATAGGTCTGAAAACAATTTTCAGTATTTGCATTGCTTAAAAATTAAAAGGTTAATAGAGAAGGCTTTACTATAAAGTGATGTTCACTTGGGAGCTCTCAGTTGTCTGATGTTTTCAGTTGCATGAAAATTATACTTCATGCTAAATATAACAAAAAATACCTAATCAGTGATTACCAGTACAGTGACTTAAAACCAAAACCAAAAGCAGAACCAAACCAGTATAACTCAGTGTAACTGTGCTCCTTGGTTTGTTTAATGCTGGAGAAGTTGCAAGTCTCCAGAAAAGCTGTAAAAATGTAAATTACTATCACTCTGACTTTATAAATCGAAGGGATGAGACACAAGCTGGTTTTACAGTGGCTGTGATTAAGAGCCTTCCCAGCCAGTGGTGCTGATAAACGACCCCAACTCCTTAAAAGATGCAATTATGCAAATGTTAATTTTGGTAAATTGAACCCATGCCCTAGAAAGGAGGAACTGGCATTGTTTGCATCATTAAAAAGAAACCTGATGCACAACTCTCACACTGCACTTGGTACCTCATTAATGGCATTGCTGCACCCAAAATCTGCTGCATTTTTGCCGTTCTTCCGAGTCCTTCTCACTATAAAAACACAGTTTTGGGAACGTGCAAATTAGGCTTTGGTTAAAAAACACCATTGATGTTTCTCAGCAAAACACCACAAAATATTTCTCCAGCCTCTACCCTGTCATTCACACTTCCAGGCTTTATTCAGGGAGCCTGAGCAGAGGAGGTGTTCCATCATTCTCCCCCAGATGTTTTATGGGACGCGACACTCGGGCACCGGAACTTTCCCCTATTAGGCAATAACGAACCAATTACACATTCACAGATGATAATAGGGGGGAAGGTTTTTAGGAAAGACCTGTGGTTACAAAAGCAAACGTGTGGAATGTTTTTTTCCTGCCATTCCAAAACCAGAAAACAGCGTTTTTGTGTTCACAGCTGGGACAGGAGTCAATTATATCGAGAGAAAAATACGACTTTTAATCAGTTAAACTACAGATGTTCTCAACACACTCAAGGTGCAGAACAGGGCACAGCCACCACAGTGGCAGTGGTTTTAATAATGGGAAAAAATTATGACACTGAAGTGGAGTGTGAATTGGAATATATTATGAAAAACCACCTCATTTCTCCCTTTGAGCCACTGCAGACGCCTTTGTCATGAGGCTTCACAGGATTTTAACCCTTGGGGGGGGTTCAGATCTGGTAAGAAAATGATATGGAGAGTGAGAGAGGGAATATTCCATCAAAATCAAGGAATCATAGAACAGTTTGGGATGGAAGGGAATTTAAGGATCATCCACTTCCAACCCCCATGGACAGGGAACCTTCCACCAGACCAGTGTAAAGTCGGAAAAGTCAATCCCACATGAAGTTTTTACCCTCTTAATTGAAAGAGTGCAATGTAAATAAGGTGATAAGGGAACAGACTCATCTCCAGGTCTCTGCAGCCCTGTGATTTGAAAAAGGGTATAAAAGTAATTTAAGGGAATTAAGCACAGTGGATGTAAAATTGGAGAATATATCGCTGAAAGTGCAAACGAACGGGAAATCTGCCAGAATTTCTGTAAAAATCTCAAAACAGGACACAAATGGTTTTATCAACACTTCAGTCACGCTTCAAAAATAACACAGAGAAAATATTATTATTCCATTTCTTTTCCTGAACTTTAGATTTTCCTTTTTTTTTTTTTTTTTTTAATATGACGCAGGTAAAAAGCTATTTGGCAAGTGTAGGTGAAGAAGCACGCAAACCAAACAACCTATTAATGCTCAGAATTATATATGTATTCCCTAAAAAAAATGTAAAGCATTTTTGCTTATTTATTATGTAAAACAAAACCGTTAAAATGTTAATAAAAATCCTGTAGCCAAAGGAAAATCGAGCTGGAGTCCTCTTTTTCTTTTTAACCGCAAAACACGGGGTTTCACAAATAGTGGTGCATATTTGAAAATTTATTCCCATCGTGGTTTATATTTGACAATTAACGTACTATAAAATACAAAGATTTTTTTTTAATTTAAATTTATTGTATTTTAGCCATGTTGTGTTTCAAAGGAAGACACTTGAGGGACTGCAAATAACACAGAATCACTAATGAGCTACTCAAGCACGACATCAGTTTGCAATTCTTCCCTGCAGTTCTCTTTTCTCCATCATTTTTTGACCTCTGGTCCTTCCTCAGCCCAGATTTAATTTCTTTGGTGTCTGATCAGGGCAGTGCATCACTGCTGCCACTTACACATGCAAATGCTTTTATTAAACCAGTCGCCCCCAGGAATCAGCTCTTTGCAGCACAATGACACATTTTTTTATACATATAAAGCTCCTGCATGTTCCAAAGGAGTTGCACAGAGTAATTTTTTAAACTGCTGATGTAGCTGAATCAGGAAAAAGCAGAGAAATAAATTTTTGTACAATGAAGCAGCAGCATAAAGGATTAAATGTTTTAATATTATTTCCAGGTAATAGCCCCTTGATTTGTTGGATATATTTAAAAAATAAAAAAGCTCTGAAGTCTTATAAACCTTTTACTAGAAGCGAGATGTGCTGCTCGAGCTCTTAAATGTTAAGCACATTATTACTTTTTCAAACCTTTGGAAGCAGCTTTGTTGCTGACTGGGCACAACCTGCTCGCCTCCCTCTGAACACACACACGTGCCAACACGCCCAGCAGAAGTTTTCCTATCAATAAACAACCTCCACAAATGTTTTCACGATGAGAAACGTTATAACAGAGTCCAGGAGGGGGGAAAAAAAAATGAAGTCACAGAAATATGGACGTCGTAATAAATGGGGTTTTTTTGAAAGCACTTCATCAAGAAAATAGTTTAAGATATGACATCAGCCCCGCAATGGAAGAGGTGTTTTACTAATCCAGACAGTTGAACGAAATGAAACATTTTCAGTGCATTACTCCTGGGTCTGGAGTTGTCTGATTCTCTCCATACCGATGTCCAGAGACACTCTGCACCACATTTGTCTGAGAACAAGAATAACAACCATTTTCCTACAAAAATGTTGTGGCTTTCTGGGCGTGCCAAGTTTGGCACAGGAGGAGTCAGACTCCCGCCTGGGCTTCCCATCTACCTGACAGAGGCTCCTGGGCTTCTCCACAGCTCCTCACAAGGACCTTACTCCAGGAATTCTCCCTGTCTTTGGTTCTTCTGAAGGGGAAGCAACCAAACCCTTCATCCAAAGTCCAGGCAGTTTCCTCAAGAACTACAGGTAAGTTTTAGACACCAGAACAGACCACTAAAGAGGCCAAGTGATATTCCCAGAGCACCCAACCTGTGCTCTGGCACATCCAGACTCAAAAGATCTTGCTTGTGGAAAGGAAGTTCAATGCTAAGTGTCTTCCTAAGGCAAAAAGTTTTGGAATAACCTTAAAACTCAAAGTAAGAATAGAACCAGCTCACCATTAAGGCAGCCAGAAAAGAATCCAAAAAGGAACAACAGCAACCAGGAAATGCTGCAGCATTTTGCTCTTAAAAAATCCCTCAGCCACTGAAGGTTTGCAAGTCCATTCTTCCCTTCACACAGGAACATGTTTTATCCTTTCCCCCCGTCATTCTTTGCCCCTTGTGAAGGGAGAACATGTTTTAAGGAAGCCATGCAAGCATGACCTGGTTGTTAAATCTCTACAGGCACTTCTCACTCTTCCTGGAACACAAGCAAAATTCAAGGTGCTTCCCACATGCACATCCTGCAGTGCCAAAGCCAAAGCAGAGACAGTGTTTTAGCTACAAATATCAGATTAAGGTAAAGTTTTGTAAACCTGTGTGGTTGGAAAACCAGTACCAGAGCTCTGCTTTCCCCAGCTGACATTGCTCACAAACTGCTTGAAGGAAAAAGCAGAAAATGAGTGAAGATGCACAAGATGTGAGTGTGTATGTGAACACACACACACTTTTTATGTATGTTCATATATGTTGTTTCTTCTTTTTTATTTAAACTGTATTAAGTCAGACTCGAGTTTCAGCTAATTACAACATTCATCAATATTTAATTCTGAAATAAAGGTAATTGCCAGAAAATTCTCAGCCTAAAGCAGTTTTGAAAGCCTCTGGTGGGAAAAAAGCAAAACCTGGTGTTGTTGTGCATCATTTTAATTATGCCCATTAACAGCTGTCTGCACTCCACTGGACAGTTCCAGGTAATACTGGTGTGCAGCCTCACATGATCTGGATCATGGGGGAAAACAAACCAGCAGGGACACAGGACAAATCTACTGTGATGTGGAGCATAAAATCCTAAATGTAACAGGGACAACTTAATTTCTTGCACTTGCTGCCAAGCCACCGAAACCCTAATATGTGAGGATTGGTCAAAATTACCATTACAGACCAGTTTCCTGATTTTAAGACTTCTTGGCTTTGTAACTGAAACAATCTCCTAACATGTTCAGGTTGTTTATGAGGTGAACTTTAACCCCAAACCCCCGTTTCTGGCGTGTAGGCCGCAATTTCCTTTGTGGAAACCAATTTGGCTGATCCACCTCCAGCAGGGACGAGGGAATGGAACGAGCAGCGCTGCCTACTTGAGGAAATGAGGCTTGAGGAAACATCACACCTAGGAGACAAACTTATTTTGCACAGAGTTGCCTGAAGAGCTGCGGTGGCCAAGTCTTGGTGTGAAGGCCCAGGAGAAAAACCTGCCGAGCCGCCGCCGTCGCACGGAAACTCCCACAGGGATGCTCCAGGATGCTTCCCAGTCATGAGCAAGGTGTTACACCCCCACCTGGAACTGGGCAGGCAGCCCCCAAAAGGAGCTACTTTCAGGTCAGCTCCTGCTTTTAATGGTTAGCAGCAAACCCAGATGCTCTGCTTTGGGAAAGGAGGTGACCACAGAAGCTGTGGAAGAGAATTCAGACACAGGTGGATGGTATGTTTTCTCTTTCTCACTGGAGTAGTTGTTTGCAGCAGGGAATCTCTTATTTATTCACTTCACTGAGATCACAATATAACTATCAAATTTTAAACTAATCAGAGGTTCCCTCTCCTGACTGGGATTACACAATAACCTTGGTGAGACACTACTCCAGTGGGTTTTTCTCACAGGGGCTAAATCCTCTTGGAAAACTATGATTCAAAGGACACATCAGATGATTTACTCAGATCCAATTACCTAAGAAGAGCAGAGTGCCAGGAATTTGGATAACCAACCACAGTTCTTAAGTGCTGATGGAATACTCTCCAAAAAACTCAAGGCAGCCACTAGAGTTGTAGACCTGAGACCAAAGCACAGGTTGGTAAATTGTTGCACAGGTCCACATGGAGAAGAACCAAATCAGTAAGGATCTCCACTTAGACCTGAAGTTAAGCACAGTGATAATCCCAGTAAGTCAGAAATATATGATGTTCCAGCTGTTTTTAGTGCAGACAACACATAAACCAGAATGTAGTTTAAAAAAACAGAGTAAAAAAAAAAAAAGTAAACGTTGTCCTGCACTTTGCTAAAGTACAATAAAAACAGAGAGACACAAAAAGGAACTATTCAGCCACTTCAGTTTCTCCAATACAGTGTGCAAGTGAAGAGAAAGTTCTGTTCATTGTAAAGGGTTCCTTTGCAACCAGACTCCTCAAAAAGAATAGACACTTACAAAGAATGGCAACGTCGGTGTGTTTAAAAGTTAATACAAAAGAATAAAGGCCTTCAGCTATGAGATCACCATCTCTTTTTGAACTGTTGAAGTTATCCACTTCAAAAACCAAAGACAGCAGAAAATCAGAAGGGAAAAAAAAATCAAGCTGCCAACTCCCCTTCCCACCTCTGAGCGAGTTTAGCTGACGGTGCCAAACACTAAAGAGTCTTCCCTGGTGCTGTGAGCTCAGGGGACAGTTAATGCTTTGGGACTATCAGGTTTCTCAGCATGTCAAAGGAGTTGCCATCTGGGTGCACAGAATCGATCCCTTTGCCTTCTTGGTGGACTTGCAGGTATCCATAGTCGTCTATCCCGACGATCCAGGCGGTCGGCCCGTCCTCGCTGTGCAGACGGACCTGCTTCCCGCTGGGAACAGGGAGAACCAGGCTGTCAGTGATGGATGGTGGGCACTGCACAATTCAAAACACCTCAGAGGACTAATCATAGAATGAATGACAGAATGGATTGGGATCTTAGAGATCATCCCATTCCAAACCCCTGCCACGGGCAGGGACACCTTCTACCACACCAGGTTGCTCAGAGCTCCATCCAGCCTGGCCTTGGATGCTTCCAGGGATCCAGGGGCAGCCACAGTTTCTCTGGGCAACATGTGCCAGGGCCTCCCCACCCTCACAGGGAAGGCTTCACCCTCCAGCAGATTATTTTTATTTCCGACTTCACTGGTTCTTTACAGAAAATGATTTTCAGCAGCATTTTCTATCTGCTTTAATTTCCTTTTGTGGAATGAACAGAGTTGGAGTTAATCCAAACAGTCTATTTTTTTTATAGAAGCACAGCAGCTTCATCAATCTCAAAACAAATAATTTTCAACTCCCTTTGTTTGGAGATGATACAAGTAAAATACCTGGGAGCATTCTTTAACTCATGCTAGTCCGTTGATTTTTGGGGTGCTACTTTTATTCTCCCTTAAAAATGTACATCCTGCTTGGGAGTGTATTTTAATTAATTTACTTGTATTAAAGGAAATTTAGTAGATAAAGTAGAAAAAGAAAAAATATGCAGGAGTTCTTCTACCAACTTGCTTAAAAGAAAGTCTGAGAAGAACATAATTCTTACCTGTGTACCCAGTACTTGTAGTAACGGGGAAGAATTCCATTGGGTCCCTTCTCCTGAAAAATATCTATGAGCCTCTCCAGCACAGTGACAGTCCTTGCAATGAGACAGTCTGTAGTTAAAGGTTTCAGCTTTGTCCCCTCTTCCTTATTAAACTTTGTGATGAGATCATTGATGCATATGGTGGGGTTGCTGTTATTCACATTAAATCCAAAGCCTGAAGAAGACAAACGAGAAGGATCAAAGGGATGAACACTTTGTTACCACCAGGGTCACTACTTTATTCAGCTACTCAATACAATTATCCCTAGGGATGTTTCCCGTAGCTGTTTTTTTTCAGCCTCTTACACCTTTAAGTCTTCTTACTCTTGTAGTTCCAGTTCTCAGTTCAGATTTTACTTGTTCCTTGCCCTCAAAATGCTCTTTAGAATTACAGAAGCGAATCCAGCACAGTCTTTCAACACCACACCATCCTATCAAGGAGGGGTGGGAAGATGGTAACTGGCACCTTGGTTACAGTAACATCAAAGTGAGAAATTCTTTCATGTCATCAGCCAACTCACAGTGAACCCCTCTGAGATGGAGTTTCATCTTTCAGTCTAAAACATAATTCAGAGACCTCTGTGTTTACTACAGTTGGCTGACTGCATTTTCTGAAAACCAAACCTTTTTCACTCAGCTGATAAGCCTTGTTTGGCTTGCTCTGGGAAACCCAGAAGATTTAACTTTAACTTTGTAAGACTCCAGTTTGCTTAATCTATCTCACCACAGCATATCCTTTAGAAGCCTCAAGTGTCTCGCTGAGATTTCTCCAGCTGGAATAATGTTGGCAGAACGCCTTTCTTGTTTAAATATGGCTCTTGGGGCCTTTTCTGCTGCCTGCTGGAACAGGCTTCGAGGGATGTAGAGAAATATATTGTATTACCTGTTTATTTTTTTCTCCTAATAATTTGGGTTTTTTTCTCTCCTCAGACATTTGGGATAAAACCCACTGTCTGTCAATCAGTTTTAGACACGATGCTCCTCCGTCTGCAAGAAGGTGCAGATGGTCCTGTTTTGTAAATTTGCAATAAATGAGACCACTCATATATGGAAGTAATTTGTGTTCACTGTGAGGAGAAGGATCTCTTCAGTTAAAAGGAGTTTTTGATTTTTAACTAGTTCAGAGAATGCACACAAACAGGGCCCAGTGATACCAGCACCAACACACTGATCCCGTGGAAATGAGCTGAAATGTATTATTGGAAAGAGATAAAGGAAAATGAACTGGAAAATACTTTGTGCCATAGCAGCAAATCCCAACTCAGCTGTTTCCACTCAACTACAGCACGAGGGAAGAGAGTGCCCATGGTCCTTAGGCTGTGATTGCTGTTGTGAGGGGGCATCACGGGGTTTTGGGGTCCATGAGCAGGTCAGGCTTCAACCACTGCTCAGCAACTCAAAAACTGAGACACAAGAGACACCTTGAGGTGACAAGCTCAGCTGAGGCACAAGCACCTGGGGATAAACACAGTGGCAAAACACAACCAGCTAGTTTGAGGCACATGAGGCACTCAGGGCCCTTGGGGGCGTCTCCGCAGTGTCCAAGCGAGAAGAGCGAAAAATAACCATTCAGCACCGACCAGCAGTGTGCTGATGTGGCTGATATAACTTCCAGTGCTCGAGCCATCAGCATCTGTGCACTGTTTGGACATGCCTTAGCTGAGGCAGAGGCAGACAGAGGAGTGTCTGCAGGTCACGCACGTTGGCCGTCCCTTGCATTCCACTTGTGCTTGGCTGCCTGCGCCTGCTCCCAGTCTGGCCCTCGCATTCATGGAGTATATTCTTCTGCACAACTCTCCTTCCAGAAAGTCCTGCCACCCTTAAAGTTCTTGATTTTTAATTTTCTAATTAAAAAAAAAAAATGGTTTGTTTTGTTTTGTTTTTTTTTAAACCAGATTTAAAAGTACGAACGTGAAGCGCGTCCTCTGCGAGGCCTTGAGTGCCGGTACAGCTGTGAAGGTAGGTTTGTCTTTGGCCTTGTTCTTCTGAGGTAATGCTCAGACAAGTGAAGATTTGAAGAGCTTTGATTTTTATCATTTTCCTCACGTGTGGGATATTCTTCATGAATGCCACGGAAAAAGTGAGTTCAATGACTCAGTGAGTCTCTGCACTGGGTGACAAGGTGGGGATCGGGCACAAGGTTGGACTTGATAGTCTTGGAGATCTTTTCCAACCTCAATGATTCAGTGATTCTCTCTAGGTAAGGAATCTACATGACTGTAGAAAAGGGATGATGCATCTGGTTTACCTTTCCTGTGGTGGAAGTTGGATCTACCACCACTACTAACATAAGAACTTAGATACCATGAATCTCCCCAGCTGCTCTCAATGACATATCACTGAAGTGATGGAAAAGCTCCTTGGATTCATATGTAGCAACTAAGTTTTAATTTTAGAAGCTTCTAGGTGAAAGTAAAGTGATGAACAGGTATATCTTCTGTCTATACCCCCCCCCAAGATAACTCCTATGGATATGAGAGAGAACAGATGCAGAAGGTTTGAATTTGAATTTAATGGTTTGGTGTTTAGGGTAAGAAATAAAAGGTCCAAACCAAATATTTGCATAAGAGATATTCGATATAATGAAATATTTTTTGATCCATTTCTGCTTTTCCTCTGTTAACCAGAACAGGCTCTAGAAAAACATGGAAGCAATAAATGATTAATGGGGCATAGAGAGACTTCTTAAGTGTCTTGGTGTAACTTTCATTCTGTTCATGTGGATTATTTACAAAATGAGGATATAATTGAATAGAAAGTGTAATGCCTACAGAAGGAGGTGATCACTTCAACTGTTTTGCTTGTTTGCACCTCTAAAATTACAGCAGCTTGACAAAAACCACAGATATCACGACCACACTCCCTTTCCAAGACATTTTCCTTATGTTACATTCAAATACAACCCAAATGTTACCATCTTCTTTAACCTTTTAGACTTGCTAAGGAATTTTTCAGACATAGCAAAGACAATTATTTTTGGAACCAGGACCTGGAGCGCTGCTGGCAGGTTTCTAAGCATGTCTGACAGATCTGTGATGCTGCTGGTGAGGGGAAAAACTTCCTTAGCAAACAGCAGGATGATTATCAGACTTGAGATTATAAAAACATCTCAATGGTTAAAAAAATGAAAACATTACTATGTGTATGTAGCTCTCTCTCTCCTGATTTAAAAGGCATGTTCTTTATTTAACTATCTGTCATGTTATAAAAATAAGCAAATAGGAAAAAAAAGGATACAGTTTTTAGCATATTCTACTAGTTTTGCAATAAATCAAGGACAATTTCCCTCTGTCCTGTAATGCTCTTTCTTTGAACTCTACTACATCAGCCCAAATGCTTGTATTTATGTTTTCCTTGTCAAGCATATGGAATTATTAAGAAGAATGAAAATATTTACTTTTTCTACTTCCTTTTGATATAATATTGTGTTTTATTTCCTAATGCCTGCTGTCATTATTTGTTCTTGTCATTACCATGTGACCTTATACAGACATTAATAACAAATTTCTTCAGAAAAAAACCCAGTATAGAAAAGCTTGAAAAGCTTGAAAATAGACATTTACCAATCAGTATATGAAATGTTGTTTCAATAAGTGTTGAGTTTACCAGAACTCCACCAAGCTTCATAAGGTCACTGTAGTAAATATCATTTGGCCATTTTACTCGCAGCTCAATATCCTAAAAAACCAAAAACATACATTTAGAAACGTTTTGCTCTTCAATGTTTGTTATAAGAACATGGTTCATTCATCATTCCATAGTTTATATGGAATCACAGAACGGTTTGGATTGGGAGGGAACTTAAAGATCATTCAGACCCACCCCCTGCCATGGGCAGGGACACCTTCCACTAGCCCAGGTTGCTCCAAACCCCGTCCAACCTGGCCTTGGACACTTCCAGGGATCCAGGGGCAGCCACAGCTTCTCTGGGCAACCTGGGCCAGGGCCTCCCCACCCTCACAGTCAAGAATTCCTTCCCAATATCCCATCTATCCCTGTTCTCTGTCAATTCAAAGCCATTCCCCCTTGTCCTGTCACTCTTGGAAATAGTCTCTCTCCATCTTTCTTGGAGCCCCTTCAGGCCCTACAAGGCCACAATCAGGTCACCCCAAAGCTTCTCTTCTCCAGCTGAACAATCCCAGCTCTCCCAGCCTTTCCTCCCAGCAGAGCTGCTCCAGCCCTGGGATCCTCTTGGGGCCTGCTCTGGACTGTCTGCAGCAGCTCCATGTCCTTGCTGTGCTGTTCCCCAGGGCTGGAGCAGCTCTGCAGGGGGGTCTCCCCTGAGGGGGTAATGTGATACTGTGAACTGCTCTTCATAATGAGAATCTATTTAAGTGCTCCACAAATGTTACTGAAAACATCATAGTAACATGGTGACAAAGGAGGATGGCAGCTGTCAGGGAAAAATTTTACTAAAAAAATAAAAAAAAAATATATATAAGATAAAAACCAGTAAGAGTGACCAAAAGGGGGACTAAAGATACTAAAGGCTGTCAGTCTCAAAATGGTGAGGTTTTATAGAATAATTTCCTTCATTCATGAGAGTTTATTAAAGATTTAAAAGATTTACTCAAGAAAGATGCAAACTGAGGCTCAGTGCTGATAATCAACCCAAATAACATCCCCACTCTCCTTGAGGACCCTTCCAGACTCCAAAGAGACAACGACATCCTGAATTTCCGAAAGGAAATTTAGCAGACAGGAGAAATTCCAGTTCACAACCGGATAAATAACTCCACTAATGTCCTAAATATATTCAGGCTTTCGGCAGCGACGCTCGAGCTGGAAACACAAACCGTGCTGTGTGACACCGTTCCAGCCCAATAGAGAAGGTTTTGTTGAAACCACAGAAACTGAGCTGAACTTTGCACTGGCTACTTAAACACAGAAAGAAAGCAAATGTGCTTTCTGCAGCTTGAAAAACTGCACATGACTGTGTCCCCAGGGGCAAATTATGGGAGGTGCTCCAGGACTACAAGAGTCGCGTTCCCTCCTATTGTAGATTACGAAATCCCTTTACAGGATGTGTGAAAACTGCACCTGGGTCCATGTCTACTTTCCTGACAGATTTAAAGGCCAGAGAGGAGTCCATTACACGTTCATTGACAGGAAATACTACCTGATTTTGCTATCAAAGCAGTCTCAGGTTCGCTACGGAAAACGACTTGACTCCTCGCCCTGGGAAAAGGTTTATAGAAGACTCTTGAGACACGTGAAGTATGACACAGTTAAATGGTATTATCAGTGATAAAAGGTCTTCTGCAGAGCTACCCAGTAGATCTGACTCGAGGAAAACATAACACCTGTAAGACACCAGGCAGTAGTTTTGTGACTGAAGTGACAACAAGCAGGAAGAACAGTCAAGTCAGCCGGGTGTTCTCAGGGTGTCCATCACACAGAAGAGACTTCACCCCAGAATGGATTCACAGGGTACCACAAGATGGTAAAGAAATGATGGATGTCACAAAATACACTGGAAACGGAGTATGTTCTTATCTTCACTCACTAGAGAGATGTCTGCTGTCCTCAGAATGGGAAAGCAAAGCCTTCTCTTGATATAAGGCCCATTTGGACCTGCAGTATCAACATCCCACAGTGAAACTTCCAACCACAGAGCTGTCAGATTTGCTCTGTGAGGACACAGAACAAAGGCCTCAGGTGTTGCTTCTTTAGCAGAGTCAATAATCCTGACAATCCTAAAAATGATGCCTGGTTGATAAAATGAGATGTAGTAACTCGGGTTTTTGAATGGAAATCCTCAAATGGACTTTGAGGAGAGCGAAGGACATTGAAGTGTGTTAATGTGTTATTAAGATTCTGACATACTCGTGCAGAGGGATGGAAATTTGGAGGAGAGAATGAAGCCTCTAGGGTCCTCAGCAAAGCAAGGACATGGAGCTGTTGGAGAGAGTTCAGAGGAGGAATCAGGATGATCAGAGGGCTGGAGCAGCTCTGCTGGGAGGAAAGGCTGGGAGAGCTGGGATTGTTCAGCCTGGAGAAGAGAAGCTTTGGGGTGACCTGATTGTGGCCTTGCAGGACCTGAAGGAGCTCCAGGAAAGATGGAGAGAGACTACTTCCAAGGCCTGGAGTGACAGGATGAGGGGGAATGGCTTTACACTGACAGAGAGTAGGGTTAGATGGGATATTGGGAAGAAATTCTTGGCTGTGAGGGTGGTGAGGCCCTGGCCCAGGTTGCCCAGAGAAGCTGTGGCTGCCCCTGGATCCCTGGAAGTGTCTGGCTGGATGGAACTCTCAGCAACTTGGGCTAGTGGAAGGTGTCCCTGCCCTTGGCAGGGGATGGAACTGGATGATCTTTAATGCCCCTTCCAACCCAAACCACTCTATGATTCCACAACTCTGTGGATCAGCTCGTTTTTTGCAGCGACTGCAGTTGGCATGACATGGGCACAAAGAAAAGCCCTGCCCAACCTACACCCAAAGAGAAAATTTAAGCATTGAGATCCTGACAAATTTTTTAATTTCCTTGCATTAATTTGAGTCCTGTCCCTTAACATTAGTTTCACCCATTGTTGATGTCCTTTCAAGTTCAGTACTTCTCTCCTGGTCACAGCTCTTGCAGTGCCCACACTGTAGGTACAGTACATGCATTACTGCCACATACTATTTTTACATCCATATTTAGTACTTCAGTCACCTTTCTCCTCTTGAATGGAACAAAGTTAAAAATGCCACAGCACACCAGGGTAGGCATACAGAAGCAAAACCACCTCCATTCATAAATTAGCTCCTTCCCCAGCCAGCCTCATGCTTTATAAAACTAACTCTTGTCCCTCCTATTTTAAATGGTTAAAGTGTTCACTCTAAGCAAATATTTTATATTGCAAATTTTAGCCTGAAGCATTTTGTTTTTATGGTCAGGTTATGAAGCACTGAAGTTAGAAGGTTTTAATAGAAAGGCTGACAGACCCTAAACTACAGCAAAGCTACTGGGTGCCACTATAATAAAGTTCATGTGTAAATGTGTATAAGTCATTGATTTTCTGTAATATAGGAAACATATGCTTTAGTTAACTACTTCTGTAAAATACCAAAGTTTTATAGTTAGCAAATATTAGGAAATGGTAACATTAAAAAGGAGATATATGAGGTGATGAAGAAGACTGGTTCTTCATTTTAATACTGATGACAGGACACTTGATTCCCTCTCGAGAGCAATACTCCTAAGTTCTTGCCTTAGAAATCAGTTTTCAACCTTAAACAAGGGTTGGAAAAATCCTTTAAAAGGGATAAAGTGACCACTGAAACAGCACAAACAAAAAAAGGTAGCAAAGGATTTGTCAGTTTTATTCATTTTTCCCTCCTCCTTCTTCCCCAACCCCTTCAAAATCAAACCAAATTAACTCGAAATTGTTGGGCAAACAAAATGGATTTTTTTCTTTACTGTTGAGGACTGAGGCTTAAGTTTCATAAGATTATGAGTGAAATGAGTGGAGTGCACTTAATCATCTCAGCAAAAGACATATGTACACTAGATTTCTGAAAACATATAAATAATCAAATGTTATCAAGGTTAAGTTTATCACTATATTAGTGCTGAAGAACTATACTCTGCATTCAATCTGTTCTACACATAGAAGACACAGTTAAAACATGAATTCAGTGGAAACAGGAATTTTGGGATAAATTAGAATGACATACCTCATATCCTGGTATTGATCTAACTGACTCCACCACTGCCAGAGACACCAGGTGCTGAATAAAAGGAATTCTTTGGCCTAGGTTGGAATGCAGGGGAATGGTGATATGTAGAGTGGACAGAGCACAGCCCACGGGACTGAGCCAAACATTCCCACCACGACCTGAGGAGGGAGAGAGAAAAAGGGAACTTCAACTCAAGAAAAGAGTATTTTAAAAAAACCCATCACTTTGTGAATGTAGGGAAGGATTCAACAGTTTCCATCCAAGAATCTCCCATAAGTCCTGTAATGAGTTTTCAAACTAATTTTGAAAGAAGAAGGGTTAAAGTGCAAAGCTTTTTCTCCAAAAAAACCAGCAGTTTGTTTAATGTTCTCATCCTTGGAAGTGTCCAAGGTCAGCTTGGATGGAGTTCTGAGCAACCTGGGCCAGTGGAAGGTGTCCCTGCCCATGGCAGGGGTGGAACAAGATGATCTTTAAGGTCTGTCCCAACTCAGGCCATTCCAGGGTTCTCTCCTATGATTCTAATGTACAAAATGTACAAGTTGCTGCTCCATTTCCCAGTACGTCCTAAATGACTTGCTTCCAGGGTTTCCCTGGTCTCTGATGCCACACACATTTAATAAAATCTTGCCTTGTTGAAGTGAAGAAGCATTTGTGAAGCTGCTCTGAGGGCCCCTAGAAACCCACCCACACTGGGAATGAACTCGACACGAGCCAGACCTGCCCTGAGAGTCAGGTGAACATCTTGACATGGATCTGTGCTCAGAAAAGCTTATCAGGCCAGAAACTGTGGTCTTCTGATAAAATAAACGTGGCTTTTAAAGAAATGCTAGAAGCTTTATGGGCAAGAAACAGGACTTGCTCACATTTATCTGCAAAAGACTGTTCAGGCAGGTCCTGCAGACTCAAGAAACCTCTCAGAACAAGTCAAGACCAAGTCTTGTTCCAGTTAAGTCAAAAAGGAGTTCTACTGTGGAACTCTGACTTGGATTACACTAAATGTACTGATGGCAGTTTCCATGACTGGGGAGACTTTTTGGCAGGAACTAGGAGACCACGAAATCATCTCTGCAGAAGCCACCAAGCATCCTGAAAATGTTTATTTTGGTCTCTGTGTACTTAGGTTTTGAGTTCGAATCCTCAGTTCAAGCAGGAGGACAAGAAGACACGATTATTCTGTAGATTACATTATCAAAAATAATCTTTGAGGCACCTAGATGACATTAAGATGCCCTGTTTCATCTTTTTAATACACATTTTTTAACACTAGAAGGGAACTTACCTTTCCCTTGTGTTTGTCGAACAGCAACTGCTATTAAACCCATCTCCTCAGGTAAGTCCAACATTAACCTGCCAATTAGGGAAAAAAGAAACAACACCCATGTGCTTATCAGTTGCAACACTAAGCTACATTCATGAAAATCTTAGGTTTAAATATCAGGTAATATTTTATGTTAACATTGCACCACTATTTATCCGCTTTCGGTTAACATCTACTCTCGACCAAAACCCATTAGAATATTAAAAATTGATTAACTGAAAAATGATAATGTAAAGCATTGCTGTATCCATCACACTTCAGAGCCATAGTTCATTTAAGGTGCCTTCTGATAACACACGTTTTGTATTTCTTCACATTTTCCTGGAGCGTTCATTTTTTTTTTAGTGTCGTATCTTCAGGAAGTGACAACCAGCAATTCCAGACATTTGTTTCTACTTACAGCAAATTTTTGTTCATACTACAAAATATAAGAGCAGCAGTTTCTGATTATTTAGAAAACCAATATGGTGGCAATAAAGCAGTTTAAAAGATACACTATCCCCTGAGAACTAATTATGATTTAACTACAGTAAATAAATCTACACCTTCTGAGAACTCTAGAGAACACTGGCTTATTTTAGGCTTGTGTTCTGCTTTTAAAATAGTTTCACTTAAAAGAATACTAACTTCCCTCTGGGGATAAGTAGAAAGTGCACTTTAACACCACCAAATGGGTCAATGCTAGACTTGAAAAAAAAAGAAAAGAAGAAAAAACCCTACTGTGAGAACCTCATTCAAGCCACTTTAAACCAGATCTGAACTGTACCCACGATCCTCCTCTATTTCACATTTTCAGGAAGGGTTATTTAACAGATAAAACATATTCAACATATTCCCTCTTAATTTCTGATCCATATGAGAGGTGTTTTAGGGTCTGGAATCAAGCAAGGACTTGCTGTGAGCAGACGTGTTCCCCCACTGCCCACAGACATGTGCAGGTGACAAGCTGAGGATCCATCCACTCCTCCTGTTCCCCACGTTCTAAAATGGGGCATCAGCAACTCGTGGAGGTGCCAAAACACAAGAAATCCCAAGGTTTCAGAATATCTTTCGAAGGACTGACTTGCCTGCACGATGATCAAAGCGGTTATTGGAGGGCCCAAGCAAAGCCTGGACCACAAATCCCTTTGCTAATCACAAATCACAGAACCGTGGGATGGTTTGGGTTGGAAGGGACCTTAAAGATCATCTCGTTGCCACCCCCTGCTGTGGGTAGGGACACAACAGACCAACAGACCAACAGAAGCTGTGACAGGCTCCACAATGTTGTGTCTCTATAACTTTTGGCTTCTGAACCATCACTGGGGTGGCTCAAATGACTCAAGAAGAGAAATTTAAACGACGCTAGAGTTTAGCTTGACAAGGCCAAGTACAGGGAAAACACAAGGCTCAGACAGCAGTGGCACATCTTCTATTCCTTCAGTAAGTCCACCACAGGGAAATGATTCTCCTGCACACAAAATTCCCACCAGTAGTGACAGAATCACAGAATCAGCAAGGCTGAAAGAGACCTTCAGGATCACCCAGTCCCACCCTCACCCAGCACCACCACAATCACCCCCAATCCATGGCCCCAAGGGACACATCCAGACACCTCTGGAACACTTCCAGACACAGGGACTCCACCACCTCCCTGGGACACTTATTCCAAGGCCTGACCACTCCTGCAGGCAAAAATTGTTTCTAATCTCTCATCTGAACCTGCCCTGGTGCAGTTTGAGGCCATTTCCTCTCCTCTTTTCCCTTGGACATGGTAGCAGAGCCCGAACCCCCTCCCTGTCCCCTCCTGTCAGGGAGTTGGGGAGAGCAATGAGGTCCCCCCTGAGCCTCCTCTTCTCCAGATAAACCCCCCCAGCTCCCTCAGCTGCTCCTCACAGGACATGTTCTCCAGCCCCTTCCCCAGCTCCATTGCCTTTCCCTGGACATGCTCCAGCACTTCAAGGAGAAAATCCCCCAAAGCTCACAAGGCTTCATCCCTGTCTTCTGGGAACATCCTGATTTCAGTCACAACACCAAGTTCATGGTTTTGCAACATGAAAATCTGATTTAAATTTGGAAGCCCAGTTAGGAAGAGATTACAGGCTTTGTTGAAACACACTGATGTCTGTTACTTCTCCATTCACATATCTGTCTTTAAATAGGAGGGGGAAAAAAAAGAAAAAGCCATGTGCTGCCATGATGGGAGGAAAACAAACAGAGCAGGAAAAAAGTTAATTAGGAATCCAAAACACAGGCTCTACACCAAAGAGATATGATTAAATGGAGAGACCGAGGTTGTACTTCCAAGGACCACGAAGAAATTCTTTAAAGGACACAACATGGGGAAGTTGTTAATACCCAGACTGATACAGCAAGAGACACATAGATTTAGTTTTACTACTTCCTGAGATTGTGCTGGAATTACTGTGAAGCCTCTGATAATAAAAATCTCCACATGACCACCCTCTGCTCCCCCCAAACTTCAGAGCTTTGGAAACTGTGTGTGTGCTTGTTAGTTTTTTTTTGGGGGGGAGAAACAACTTAGATTTCCCTTACCAGAAAGATTAACTGTACGTGCACTTTTTTACATATTGACTTCCCTTCTTCTCTTTCAACTTAATCAGTTGCAGCTTTAACAATTTAGTTTTTCTGCAGTGACTTAATCACAGTGCTCACCACATTTTCTCCCCAAAAACTTTTTCCTTCGAGAAACTCTCTGGGTTTTTTTTTTCCTGTTTGTTTTTTTTGTGCTCATTATCTTGCTCTACATATTAAGTCAAAAGACCACATTGAGACACAAGAGTAGGGAAACATGAAATATCTGAAGGCGGATTTACCCATCAGGAAGAATATCAGATGGCACTTATATGATGGTTGAAGATGATACTGGAATTTTATGAAAATTCTTCTTTTCTGCTTTGAACATTTTCGTGGTATTTTCCAAAATGTGAGCAAGGCACCTTTGGTATTCAAGGATATTAAACCAGCCAAAATATTAAGAGAGAGATTCTAATTTTTCAAACAAATACCCTCCTCCCCACCCTGCAGTGCACACTGAGAATGCTGTCAAGAGCAATAAACAATAGTTAATTGTTTTATAGACATTTCAAGTGTAAGGAGGACTCCTGGCCAGTCAACACAATGAACTTTCATCCTACAAGAACGTAAAGTGGGAATTGAAACCACAAAAACCTATGTTTGAATAATGTTAACGGCCTGACAAGCATAAATTTCATTGATGTTGTGGGTTTAAGATTGAAACTCTCATTAATGCATCCTGCTGTGTTACAGGATTGCAGAGGTATTCCAACAGGCAGCATTGCATTCCAGATGTTCAAATACCTGGGCACCAGAGGGGGGAGTTATGACCAGATTTCTCCCTCCCCTTCAAGTTCCTTGTCTGAAAATCTCACTCTCAAATAGCTTATTTATAGAATATTATAAAAGCAACACACACACACACAAAAATCCTTTCAATTTTTAGTCAAATCACAGGTTGAGTTACTCAAGGCTTTTTTTTCCCTGATCTTCACCAACAAGGTCTTCTAGGCCTTTTCACACACAGACAGGGTTCAGGGAGGAGAGGAAACACCAACAGCAGGAAAGGACCGATCCCATAAATCTCCTTTCAAGGGAAATCTTGGCTCATTCAAGTCCGTGAGAGCAGACGGGATGGATCTGGGAGTGCTGGCTGAGGGCACATCAAGCTCTTCCATCACCAGGGTCATGGACATCAGGGGAAGTCCCACATGAACAGAGAAGGGGCAACATCTTCAAGATGTTCTTTCAGAGCACCCTTGTATCCCAGTCCAGCCATTGTGGTCCAGATGGATGAACCACCAGATGAAAAAAGAGTGTTTGGATTCTGGGATTGAAAAGCAATGGTTTGTGCTCCACCTCTAGGCTGGAGACAACTGCAGTTCCTCAGGGGTTTACCCTAAGGCTTGTCCTGTCTAATGTCTTGATTAGGATAAAAAGGAAATTAAGACGAAAGGAAATGAGGAAATATAGGAGGAAATGGCATGAACTTCAATCAAATTTGTGAATAACATTGAACTATGAGGATAACTAGACACTGGAAGAGGATGCCCAGAGAGGCTGTGGAGGTTCTAAAGATCTGACTGGAAAAAGCCCTGAGCAAGTTGGTTTGAATTAATTGTTGACCCTGCTTAAAAAGGAGGTTGGTCTAGAGACCTTCAGGGATCTTTTCCAATCCGAGTGATCTTTTAGTTCCAGACAATGTACAAAAACTTGGTATCTCTGGTGTTTCCAGTAGTCATTTAGGTTTGGTTGAAACCAGCCAGAACCAGCCACTAACTACTAATTACTAAAATAGCAACTTAGCCCCAAGGCTGTTCACTGGAATCCCATATCCCAGGCAGGATCCTGAAGTCATTTTCACACTCTCTCACTAGCCTAAATATTTAAATTTATTCATCTTCCACTTTCCATGAAGCATTTTATACACGCCCAGGTGCAACCTGAAGGCTCCCAGAAGATTGACCCCCCCAGGTGAGACAAGTAGAACACCTAAACTGTTAATCCTGCTGAGGTTTATTTCAATGATAGGAATCTCCCCATTCCACACTTAAAACCGTGCCTATATCCAGCAGGAAAAATATATGCCAGAACACACTGTTCCATGAAAGCACTCTTCTGTTCCATTGCAAAAATTCTGAACTTCCTTACACATTCTAGTGGGGTCCCCTATAGCAATGTTAGTACAGAAAGGGCCATTTAGTGTCAAATTCTCCTTGAACTCCTTGGATATGCTGAAGTCCTGCATCAGTGAGAAAAAAGCATTAAGGGATTACAATGTCCCAGCCGTGGGGAAAAGTAAAAAATTTAAAAAAAAAAAAAAAGGAGTGGAACCTTGGACACCTGGTTTCTTGTACTTTCCCTTCAAGAAATCCTACAAAAAGAAGATTGTCCTGTACTAGACACGACATTCTCAGCAAGGAATTACAGAAGAGCAACTTCTAGGTGGTTAAATCTCTGGGACCACTGCAGTAATAACACAGTTCCAAGGAAAGTGCAGGATGTAGGAAGC